TTGTATTATCCTGTCATTCGTTAAAATCCCCTTCTGATTTATAAAGTCGTCTTGAGAAACTTTGTCATGTTTCACTGAGAAAGTCCTCATTGTCCTCTATGATTCCGCCAGAGAAAGCCAGGCTTGTCTGGTACATCTTGATTTCAGTGCATCCGTGTTGGTTCTCGGTGCTCACATTCGAAGTACTTACTAGCTTTCTGTTTAATCATTTAGTAATAACTCTAGGATCTTGCCAGAAATAATAATAATCATTTAATAATAACTCTAGGATCTTGCCAGAAAATCATACCAACTGTTATATACTTGGGGAAGAAGCTTATGAATTCCTAGCAATAAAGTAGGAGTAAGAACAAACAGGATAGAGGGCAAGGCTCAATGCTGAAAGGGTATGAGAAACTCAGCTATGATTCGGTCACACGTTCGATCTAGGATATTCAAGAAGAATAGCATGGCAGACGAGAGCAAAAGGCAGCAGTGCCTAGGACTCAAGACTCAAAGGTGAGTAGGCCTTCATCATGTCACATGGTCATCAGGCAGTACGGTCCCAACAAAGTGATAGCTGTTGAAGGATAGGGCTGGCACTGCACCCCAAGTTGTCAGAGGTCTAGCAAATTGTGCTCTTCCCTCTTCTGGGTAGCTGTCCTTTGACTCTGCATTTCTTTTCTTTTCTTTTTTTTTTTTTTAAGATTTTATTTATTTGACACAGAGAGATCACAAGCAGGCAGAGCAGCAGGCAGAGAGTGGGGGGGAAGCAAGGTCCCTGCTGAGCAGAGAGCCCGATGTGGGGCTCGATCCCAGGACCCTGAGATCATGACCTGAACCAAAGGCAGAGGCTGAACCTACTGAGCTACCCAGGTGCCCCTTGACTCTGCATCTTGAGGCAGGCGGGATACAAGGCCAATGATTCCCTCCACCTCAGACTCTCTAAAATAGCTGTTCTCCAAATTCGCTCCAGGAGCCCCTTCAAGCGAGTCTGAAAGGTCAAAACTCATCTCATAAAGATACTAAGGTGTGATTTTCACTGTACCCTCTTATGAATGAACAGTGGGCTCTCCCAAAGCGTACATGTGGTATGATGCTGCACCACATGAAACGCAGAAGCAGATATGAGAAACCAATCGTCTTCTTTTAAACCAGACATTATAAAGATTTGCAAAAATATAAAACAATGACATTCTTCTCACTTTTAAAATTTTGCACAATATTTATTTTTCATCAAAATATTTATGCTAGCATAGGTGAATTTTAAATAGATTTCTGTTTCGATTTCTACTATGATAAATGGTGACAGATACAACTTACCGATACAGAAACTATTTGGCACCCTCAAGCACGTTAGAGTGTAAAGGAGTTCTGAGACCAAAAAGTTGGAAAATCGCCTTATCTAAAAGAGCAAGCCCTGAAGTCCACCTCTTGCTCCCCAAAGGAAGACAAGTCGCTAAAGCTTTCCAACACTTTGTCCTGCCCTACAGCGTGGGATGAGGTTTCCAACTGCCTGATGGGGTTGTTGTGAAGATCAGATGCACAGTCCGTGTATAGCTCTTAGCTCAGAGCATAGCACCTGGGCACGCAGTAAATAGTAGCCGTCACTAGTATGATTATCATGATCAGTATTCTTCTTGCTCCTGCTGCTACCATCACTACCATCATGAGGATGATTACTCCCCCGGCAACACCTTTACTCATTTAGCCAAAGAATTTATTCCTCGAACTTGTTAAATGCTCTTGGACCTTTGTACTTATTGTTTCCTCTGCCTGTAATACCTTTCCCACCTTTCTGTCCAGCAAATTCACTCCGTTCTTCTCCCATGGACATGGAGGTTCCATGACCCCTCCAACCCGTGTTATGTGCCCTACTGTAATCCTATATCCTTGCCTTCTTAAGAGCACACCACAGTACAATCACTTGTGTCTTTTCTGGCTTTTCTGCTGCACTCAGCACACCCTGTGAGAACAGAGACCACGTCTTGGCCACTGCTATCATCACACGCTCAGCACAGTGCCTGCCCTTTAGTAAATGCTTGTTGAACCAGTTTTGCCCAAGTCCCTAATTTCTCTTCTTGCCCTGCTGTTCCTTTCAGGCCCTAGAACGCTTAAGCAAATTTGGGACCCGAGATATTCTTGTGAATTCTTTGGTCTTTAAGTTAGATATGAAAGTTAAGTTCCAACAATGACCTGGGCTTCACGCTTGATTTTAAGGTCAGGGTTGCTTATCTTAAGGGATGCAGGACTGTGTGCCTTCATGTCCTGGGGGTTCAACATGGTGCAGGAGGGAGAGCACCAGCCTTTGGGCAAAAGCTGGTAATTCCTAGCTAGGATATAGACACAGACCACTTAGAGTCTGCCATGGAGGACAGAGATGGCTGGAGAAAATGCTCCTGGGTCCCCATGTGCCTCAGAGTGGGAACGATAATCAGAATGCTCTCTTCCTTGTAAGCTGCCTTTCCTCCTATCCTTAGTAGAATTTATGTCTGCATGTCTCTGATCCTCCCATAGCTGGTGGCAGTTTCAAATTTCTATTCCAGAGGAGTTTAGGGACAAAAATCTGAATGGGAGACCAGAAGACTTTTTTCTTTAAGATCTATTTGCATAGCAAACACACTGTTTTTTCCTGACATTGCATATTTATTTTGGAGGGTATTCTTGGATATAAGAGGGTGCTAAGGACTCCCAATCCACCCCGCTGCTGACAGTACATCTATTTTTACTGCAGAGACATTTGAAGCAAAGGGATAGGAAGGTTTGATAGGAGAGGTTTGACTAGGACGCTTTTGGTATTGCTCTTCACATTTATAAACCTACACAGGTGAGAATCGACCAACACGTGCTCCAAAAAAGATTGGGAAGTTTGAAAAAGCAGAGTCAGCCATAGGACTAAGCACTAGACTATATTTATTAGGTCTGGGGCTCAAAGAGACCAGTAGAGTCATAAGGAAACACGCAACTTGACCAAAGAAGAGTCAGACTTGAGGCGTCCAGGTTATCACACAATTACGCATTTATTCCAGCTATGGGCAGATACAACAGAAATAAGACACTACCTCAAGGAACTTGCAGCCTGGTTGGGTAGATAAGAAAATGCTTCCCAGTTTATCATGTAAACATATTTGTGAAACTACGCTGTAGTGTTCACTGTTTCTGCTCCTTATCCTCTTTGCCTAATTAGGTAGGGGAAATAGGATGAAGGAAAAAATGGATGGGGAGGAAGGGGAATGGGTGAAAATGTTAAGACACTTAAGGCATGTGCTTCAAGTTTACAGTAATACATTCACAGTTATAAAGCTGGAGCCTGTGGCTAACATCTCACCGGGCCCTCTTATTTTGCAGAGCAGAAAACCCGGCCTGTCTAGCAAATCTCCCCAGCGGATGAGTGGCAGGACTAAAAAACCAGAAGCCAGGCTCCCTCATTCCCAGTCTTAGGGTCTTTGCCATCACAATGTAGTGCCTTGTGAGGTAGACCAACTGGAGTCATGAGATACGTGTGTCCATCCTGAGGAGTCTTAGTTTACTCTCTCACGTTTAGATGATTTTCAGAACTATTCGATTACATCAGGAATTCGGTTAGCGTGACAGTTTTCATCAATCCTAATTTCTCAGTTACTGAAAAAGAATCCATCAGTGCTGAAATTCCTAGTTCTCACCAAAGGGAAAATTCAATAATCTGAAAAACAGACGAGAACATGGTGTGTTTTTAGCTTATTTTCACCTATCCCTCTGCTTTCATATTTTCAACTGTCTGACGATTTGCAATTCTTTCTCTCCTGACCTCTTTTCTGTGTCTCTGTTTCATATTTCAGCTGCTGCATCTCTATCTGTTTTTCAAGCCAGCTTCTCCCTCACAGATCCCTATTCCTGTCAATGGCGCCACCCTCCTTCCAGTCACTCAGGCCTGAAACCTTCGCATCATTCCTGGCTCTTTCCTTCTTCTCTTCCACACCCCCAGCTTCTGTGGCCTCTTCCTGAAACATGTCCCTCAATTCCATTCCTCCTTTCCAGGTCCATTTCCTACCCTCCTGCCCAGGTCCTCACAATCCCATTACCAGGTCGTAACAGTATTTACCGCTCTTGCTGCTTCCCAGTCTTGCCCTAGTAACGCATCCCACAACCTCCTGGCCCACAACCTCCTGGATTGCTCGCTCTCTAAGTCACCGTTCAAACACAAAACCCTTTGATTCTAACTTCCCCCAGCTCCCCAGGGCCCATAGATGATAAAATCTGAACCCAAACCCCTGGATAATGCTGCCTGTACCTTTGCGACCTTGCCTTGCCTTTCCCCCACAGAGCCATCCTTCCCAATCAACAATTACTTTTCTTCCCAATACTTATTGCTGCCTCTTGCTCAACACCTGGGATAAGTTCTTGTGTCCTCATCTGAACTTTTGTTAAAGTCACGCAGCCAGGCAGCAGGCCGTGACCCCTCCTCGAAATTCCTCCGTAAGTATTTACTGGTGGTCCCACCCATGCAGCCTTCAGCCCAATCTCCTAGAAATATCTTCCCAGGTCTGTGCCCTTCCCAACCAGATAATTAACTCCTGCGGGGCCTGAAGCAGCCTTCCCAGCGCCTCTGACAAGGTAAGTGTTGGTTGGTAAGGACTGAGTTGACCCGACAGGTGGTGGGAACTTGTTAAAATGAGCTGAAAGCTACCGAGAGGCCCAGAGGCACGCCTCCCTCTCCCGGCGCCCCGCGCTGCAGGGCCGGTGCTCTTCCCACCGAGTTCCTCCATCCCCCCAGCCGGGCGGCTGCCTGGGCGCAGGGGCGCACCGAGCCCTCGGGGGGCGCAGGCCCGGGAGGCCGGCCCGCACTTCGGAGCTGCGGCCAGAGGCCCGGCCGTTCCGCGCTCGGAGGTAGGTGGTGCTGTTGCCGCGACTGTCTTCCTCATTGGCGCGGGGCGGAGAGGCGGAATGTTCAACTCCTGACTCCGGCGGAAGCGTGGGAGCCGCGCGGACCGCCGTCCTCTCGACCCCCGGTCGCCGCCCCTGCCCTCGGCGCGCGCGGGGCCTCGGCGCCCCCGGCTGCTACTCGCGCCCGGCCCGGGAGCCAGGTAAGGGGCCGGCGGGAGGCCGCGGAGGGCGAGGGTGGGTCGGAGGCCCGCGGCGCTCGCGAGTCTCGGGGCCGAGGCCCTGGCGGCCTGAGGGGCTCCGCCGCGCGCCCTCCCCGACCCCGGGCCCGTGCGGGCGGCTGCGGCCCGAGCGAGCGTTGCCGGAGTTCCGCGCGGCGGCCCGGAGGCCCCGGGAAGTTCGGGCGGGTCCCACGCAGAAGTTGGCGTCCGGAAGGGCGGGCGCAGCCTGTCGGGCTTTCCCGGCCCTGCGCGCGGCGCGGGAGCGGGGGGCCGCGGCTTCCCCTCGCGGAACGGCGGGGCCCGAGCACCGGAGCGCCGGCCTGGGCGCGGGCGACGCGGCCCCTCTGGGAGGCGAAACGCGAGTTTTCCAAATCAGGGCAGGGCGCGGGCCGCTTCCCAGCAGAGGGCTGTGCGTGCGAGGGGAGACCAGTAACTTCTGCTTTTCTCCCACCGCGAGCCGCCCTCCCCGGCCCTCCCCGGGACAGCGTGCAGCTCGCGCCGCCCGCACCCTCCAGCGGCCCCCTCTGCCTCCCACCGGGGGCGAGGGTGCTGCTCCGCGACCCGGTGGCGGCCCCCGGGCTCCGAGACTTGTCCCCAGCCTGGAGGGCCAAACTGAGGTCGCCGCGACGCTTGGCTGGCTCCTGACAGCTCGCAGACCAACTTTTCCAGAAACCCGGCGAGATGGCTCCGAATTGCCTGAATAAAGGGGGCAGGTCATTATTAGATTGCTGAAAGCGTGTGTTTCTGATGCGCCTCGAGATGTTTGCATAAGCGCTGTTTATGGAGGACTTAATTAGTATTTCTGTTAGTTTCTTGAATAACGAAAGCAACATCATTTGGTGGCCGGATCCAATGATATGACGATAAGCAGCTCTCTGTTAATAATGGTGTATTAGAATCCACTTAGCAATTAATGCGAGGATATCTGAGCTAAGATGGTTGCTAAAGTATGTTCTGTTTTATCCCTGAAGCTGTTTTAGGAGAGCCTTCTTGCTTTCTTGACCTCACTTGACGCTAACGGTCGGGATTCTGCGGATCCGAACCTACAAACACATTTAAAGACAAAAATAAACAAGTGCTTCAAGACAGTTGATGACTTCTTTGTAGTGGGCCTAGCTCCACGGTGAAATTTCATGTTGCTTTTCGATTAAAAAAAAAAAAAAATGACGGATGCATTTTAATTATGGCTTTGGTCATTTGTAGAGCCTTTGTTTAAAGTTCCAGCTACAATAGTGAGAGATTAGAGAGATTGCAAATGAACATGAATTTGGTTTGTTTGGAAAGAGTGAATTAAGATAAAGGAAGATGGTCCCATAAAGCAATGTGTACTGTTTATTTTAGTCTTTCACAACATAATTCCTATTATAACTTTTTTGGGAGGTTTTTTTTTTTTTTTAACTTGGAAAATATTGTTTGATTCATAAGTTAGAGTGGTAATAATTCCAAAGTAAATGATCCCAGTGCAATGGCAAGGAGACTTTTCTTGTCTAGGAAAGCAAATAGATGACTGATCTCTTCTTACTCTTTTCGGGAACACATAAGACACATTAAAAAGAGAAATATCCAAATATTAGGCAGGAGGATTTGGATCTAAAAATGGATGGTCAAAGATCTTGGGAACTAAGGGACCTTCTTGCCAAATAAGGAAACTTGGCAAGCTGCACTGTGTATTTTAAGTTAGCACAAGAGTGAGTGTTATTGGCAATATATTGGCTGAGTGCCTATCTGGAATGAGCAGTGAAACTGACTTTGACAGGGCTACAAAACTATAAACAGGAGTTATGAGGGGTGTGGAGGGAATAATCTAGTCAGAGAAAACACTAGCAGTGTTACAGTGAGGTTTCGTGAAAAGAGGTCAGACATACATGAAGCTATTAGTGTGGAGTCAAAGAGAAGAATGGACAGTTTTTAGAAATTGTTGGATTCAAAGAAAAGAGAGGAGAGAATCAATGATTTTTTTCTTTTTAAACCCAGAAAAAGATGTTTGCGGTGATACAGTACTTCTTGGAATGAGATAGCCTTGTATCTGTATCCAGAGATACTGAAAATAAAAATCAATTTGGATCATTTGTTTTCCATTTTATTCTACCCAGGACAGATTGACGGGGAGGGTGTCTTGTCTATCTAAATGTAATAGGAGTAGCCAAGGCGTCTTTTGGCCTTACTGCAGGGAAGATTTAGGCTACTTCTTTTGTGGCCTATTAACCTTGCCCCACTACACACAAATAAGCCAGAGCTCCAGCTGTGACCAGAAAACTGTACCTGTTAAGGAAAGAGAGCTATAAATGCGAGAGCTTAGATTGGTTTGCCTGATACATGGGTGCTTTTGTGTGGGACCATCCTACGGGCTGCTGAAGCATCGATTATGCCCTGTAGCAGTTAAAATAATCCCAACCCAGGAGAAGATTCTGCGGGGACAAAGCAGCCATGCATTGACACTCTAACCCCGCATTACAGTTGCTGATAGGAAATTAAAGCCTCAAATTGAACTTTAGGTGGATAATAAGCAATCTAGTGATTACTGTCATAAAGAAAGAGCTTGTTTAAAGGGAAAAAAAAGAGACAGATTTGAAGGAGGGGACGGAATGCTATAGTGGAAAAAAGACCTACGATATGGTGGGGAAAAAAATGATATGACTTTGAAGTCAGAGCTGAGTTTGAGTCCTGGTCATGTCACTTATAAGTTAGGTGGTTGGCTTGGGCAGTTTTCATTCCCTTCATCGTCTGTTTTTGCATCTGTAAACTGGGGACAGTGCTACCTGCTTGTTCATAAGCCTATGAGACTGCACACGGGAATGCTTGAAGCAGCATCGGAAACTTCAGCCACCATACCTGAGTGGTCGAGAAAGGTGTTTTTCCGCATTCTCGAGTTAGACGCAGAGCAAGTTGCTTGTTCTGTCTATACCCAGGTAAGGCTTGCCCTTGGTAGCTGGCCCCGTTCCCGAAGCATACTTCATGGGAGTGTACAGGGCTCGGAGGTTTTCCTAGTGACTCTCCTGCTTTAAGGATTTGTAAAGCAGGTTTGTGATACTTGGGGGGAAAGAATCTGAAGCTTATTGCATTTAGATATCTATATGAGGAATTTGAAGAACTCGGGAGTTATACGAATAAGGGAAGGTTATGACCTGGAAGACCAAAACCAAAATTACTTGGAAACATTCTTAGAGCTGCCTTTGAGCACAGCTTGTCTTCAGGGGCTGACATCCTTCTTTCTGGACTCTGTAGAAGAAAACCGAAAAGAGAAGGCAAGAATCGCTATCTAAAGGTCATGGAGTGAATCTTCGCTGATGAAACTTTTCTACCAGAGTACCCTGTTGTGGAGAAGAATGTATTTCTTCAGGGATCTGTAAATAGAGCCACAAATACTCCCCCATGTAAACAAGCACTTTCTTTAAAAATCTTGTATTTCATCTTAAAAATTCATCTGAATGTTGCATTCTCTTCTGTACTGTTTGACTATTGGACAAACCAGGACAGGCAGACACTTGGCGTGTTTATTCCTCCAGACGTTAAGGTGAAATGGACTCTTGTAGGTCGTGGGTTTACTCATACACCTTCTGTGCTGTTCGGGGTAGTCGGCGTGTGGGGGAGGAAGAGCCTGGCTCTGATGGATGGACCTGCCCCATTAGGCTTTGCAGCCCCGCCCACCGCATGGGGTAACATGGTTCCATTTTGCCGAGAGAAGAATAGCAGTAGATCATCACCCAGAGTTTTTATTTTCGGTGGTTATCCTGGGGCTTTCAGTGTGCACAAAGTTCTTTGCTTTGGGAACAGAGGAGAGGAAGGGGTGAGGGGAAAGATTAGTTGTAGGATAGAAATCTGGAGTATGACTCTTGCCTTCCCAGCCCGTTTGGGAGGAGAAATTGAGGAGAATGGCCCAGTTATCTCTATCATCTCCATCGCTGACGGCCATCACTGCTCCTCTGCCTTGCCGGGGACTCCCGAGTCAGGTTCATGTATACCTGGGGAGGGAGACCATGCATCCTTTATAGTAGGTTGATTAGTCACAGAATACTCACAGGGTCGCTGTTCTGGCTGTTACAAGAATCTCCTGTTGCGCGTGCCCACGTCCCGTTGAACCTCTCCAGGACAGGCAGCTCACTACTAGACAGAGTGGCATGTTTGCTTCTTAGGCGACTCTAATAACCTGGAATTCTTGCTGGAATTTTTAGATCAGTGAAGCATAATGTGGGGTCTTCCGTGGCCTCCTCTGGTTTTAACAGTCCCCATTTGCTTTCATCTTATGTCGAGGTTACTAGGTTTTAACTGTCTTGTTGACCCTTCTCAGGGCACATTTGTTCTAGGTAATTAGTCCAAGAGCACAACTGTTTGTTAGCTGGCAGGAGGGGTCAGATAGCTTCTGTCTGATGGAACATGGTTAGGGGTAGAAACAAAAGCCAAGTAGCAGCAGCATTAGGGATGGCTAGGCCCACTGACTGAAGTAAGCCTTGTTTCGTCTTGTTTTCTCCCCTACCCCTATTCCCACCCCCAAACATCTGTGAATTCCTCTTCCAGCTGCTGGTGGAAATGTGCCCTCTCAATGCTCCTTTGCTCCCCTCCCAGACTCTGGCCCAGCTCTCTTCCCGGGCCTCCAGTCCTTGGACACGGTTCCTCTGCAGGGACCCCAGGTCACCCATTGTACCGGCCTCATGTGGCCTAGTTGGGCTTCGGTTTAAGCACAGACACGTTTCCACGCAGTATTTCTGTGGCGGAAGTGCCCCCTGCCTCCTACATTCCTCTTCCTCCAGTGTTTTGCCTCCAGTAACAACATTTCTGGCAGGGAAATGTGTCATGGAAGTCTGTCTTCAGTTAATTGAAATATTAAAGGACAAATCAGAATGTTTCATTTAACTGGCTCATTTGTATTTTAACCTTGGCTCTAATTAGAGGGATTTGTCACTTGTACGGTCAAGCATAGACTCACAAAAAAATGAAACAGTAGCTGTTTTTTAAGAGTCTCAAAGTCTATTTCTCTCTGATAG